TTATTTCATAATTGACGACATTGTTCCAAATTCTATTACAAACAATAATATATCAACAGCAAAATTTGCAGACGATATTTCCTTTTGTACATCCTCATAATCATTCAACCTAATTAAAACTTAAATACAGTCTGCACTAAACAGTATTTAAAAATTGTCTACTGAGTGGGGCTTTCAAGTAAACTCTAAAAAGGCTATTGACATCTTATCTTACACCCAAACTTCACCTAGACAATGAAGAAATCACATTCCAAAAAGAAGCAAAACTTCAAGGAGTCACATTTGACCAACGCCTCACCTGGACTCCCCATATTTCAAAACTGGCCAACTCCTGCGAAAAATAGTTAAACCTAAAAGGTCCATCAGAGGCACCGACTGGGGATCAGAAAAACAAACACTTCTTAGTATATACAAAACACAAATACAATCAAAAATAGATAATGCCGCCCCGGTCCTTAGTGGAATTTCAAGTAAAAATATCAATAAACTAAAATCTGTCCAATATAAACCCCTTAGAATAGCCACAGGTACCAGGACTGGTACTGTCCACAATACACTATTACTAATGACAGGCACACTCTCAATCACACAACGCAGACATCAATCTAGCTTAAACTACTGGGCTGGGGCCCAACACAACCCCTTATACAAAACACTCACACATAAATATGACAACATTAAAATATCTACAATAAAAAAATACAAACCCACCCGACTCACCTATACAAACTATTACATACCCATAACCTCATTAACATGAAACACACTCCACCACACAAACACAAAATACTTGATTAACCAGCACCAGAAATAGCTACCACACTACACAGTAAACTACATACACAACCTAACATCATTAGTACTTAACCACATACATACCAACTGGCCATCACACACACACACACACACACATACACACACACACACACACACACACACACACACACACACACACACACACACACACACACACACACACACACACACACACACACACACACACACACACACACAATAACACGGGACTAGGTATCCAGTAGACCAGGCTCAACCAATAACAAGCAAATATCGTAATAAAAATTACACTAATACTAATAGTGCTGAACTATTAGCCAGACTTACAGCCCTCCATCTAGTCAAACCCTTAAACAAAACAACTTTTAAATTATTGCAGGCTCTCTCTGCTCACTTAAACAAATTCAAAACAAATATTTAAAAAACCGACCCGATTTAATCAACAACATCATCCATTTCATTTCAGAATTAAAATCAGAAAACAAATCTATAAGTCTACTATGGGTACCTCGCCACTTCAACACACCTGGTAACAACATTGCAGACATTGCAACAAAACTTGCCATACCACATCCATCCCCACCCATTGATTTTCACACTTCTAAAGCCGAGTTGAAATCTATCAAAATTCAAAATTTTCAATATCTTATTTAAAATTCTAACTTTACCTGGATTAAGACTCTTTTTAATAAACCAATCTATAAAAGCCACAAATTTAACAATTCGACCTTCTTTCATGAAATAATATCCCGTGTCATCAGTGGCAATACAAATGTAAACTATAATCTATATAAGCAAAAACGACATCTAAATGGTAACTGTTCAAACTGCCTCATTCCCGAAGACCTAGATCATATTTTTAACCACTGTCCACTTTATAGCACTTTCCACTCTCAACTATATCATTCTATCCCATCTCACTATCAGCCCAACATTTCCTAACTATTCATTCCATTCAACCCTCCAGCAATATACGACTCAATTATCAACTTCATTCTTAATGTTAAACTCACTGACAAATTTTAGAACATCCCAAACAATCTCTTCTTCAAAATCTCATAATGTAAACAAACTTTTTCCCATTTAGGATCGGGAACGAAATATCCAGCGCGGACTGTCTTCTACGACGTCCGCGCACGAAATCTCACTTATCCATAACACTAACGTAGAACATCAATTATCCAGCCAACTGCTAATGTCAAAGCCTTTCACTGCCAGCAATCGCCCCCCTGCCTCGCCACCACGACTCCCCACCCCAGCGATTTCGTTAATACTATATTAGGGTAGCAGTACCTGTACCAGCTGCCATAATACTGTCATATAATATTCTCGTGGTTTAAATTATCAACGTTTCCAAATTTATCCAATTTATACCATCTCTTGTAATAATAAATTAAGATATAATACATAGATATTAATATATAGATATATTTTTCTCCCTTCAGTTACAGTTTTTTGGGTATGATGATTTATACGTATTTTAACATAATTCTTTGTATTATTCCCCACCTACCCCGTCTACGAAATACATCAACTGTGAAGTGGACGTTAAACACCCAAAACTCAACTCAGGTTGTCATTATCACACAACATAACCCTACCACCTGTGGTTGTCGTCATTCCTTTGATCATCAGCGTATTGCTTTAAGATACAATTAGTGGTATCAGCCCTCTGTCCCTACCTTCAATGATGGCGTCTGGTATATACAGCATCAGTGGTTCACATTTGGCGTAGTCTCTTCTCTGGGGTAATTATTTAATCAACGATTGGGTTATTTATTTAGATGTGACCATTGATGTGTACAATGTCTTACTGCAAGATTGAACAGATTAGAGGTGCAGAGCAATACCAATGGATGTTAAGTTAACATCCCTAGAGATTACGTCTTGAACGTCACAACTATGTTTCAGGCTTCTTAATGCTTCATTATTTTTTTCTGGAGAATGTGTTTCTTATGCAAGTGCTATACAACATTTCAACATTAAACTGTATGAATATTAATACATATAGCCCAGCGCGTGAAGATATATGTAAATACGTCTTTCTATGTAACAGATGTCTTCACCTTTCCACGCGGTAACATTCATTCGATAGTAGCTTACCACACTTGAAACTGAAAGCACTACAAAATAGTGTATTTCGGATAATCGATAGTACAGAATGACATTTAGAAAACATGGATAACTCTTTAACAGATTTATATTTTTTCGATTTTTATTAATATTCAAGACCTCTTTGTCAATTCAGTTGCTACACCATTTTACCTCTCTGCACATTCAACCTCCTGTTTCATTTCGATACAGGTGTAGATGGTTGTATTTGCGCGTTGGCTCTTCGTCAGCTTTGAATTATTTATGTCAAAGAAATACCCACGTTCTTTCTTTGTGAACATAAACGTCGGCACGATCCCACGGAAAGATTTTATCATTTCATTATGTTTTTACCTATTTGCTAGTCCATGAAATGAAAAAGAAAAACATGTTTTCAATGACTTATCATTCATATGTATCAGGGGGTTGGACACCTCCCCACATTTTCCAACAATTCACTACAAATAGAGAGCCAATTCCCCATACCCATCGATATATTTATGAATATATATTTATTGTATGGATTGCATACACATCTCACAATGAGATGAGATACATTTTGCTTAAGATAGAACTTTTCTGATAACCAGTGGAGGATGATGGATATGACTTAACATGGAGAAAGTATCAAACTAGTGATAGATGTGACACATCTCACAGGCTCATTGCCTTGTGACCATGTTGACGTTATTCTTAACAGTTTCGAAGAACTGGCAAAATAGGAACTGAATTAAATTGGAAAGTTAGAGAAGGAATTAATAGTCAATAGTTTCCATAGGAAGCTCTCCGTTCAATAAACAACAGTTGTTATTTTCGTACTTGTCTACTCTGTTACTCTGTTACAGTATATAATGTAAACATGGAAACAAAACAATGCACGTGCAACAAAAGCATATCCATGAACTATTTAATCGGCTAAAAAAGAATAAAATTAGATCGAATTCTATTAAACTTACTTGGTATTGTTCATCATTGTGATAACGTGTGAGATCGTGGGAATTCATTATCCTTTGATAATTTATGTTCTTAACAGGATGTCTTGAATCAGGAAACCCACGTGTGACACATTATATACAGATAATTGATTGATTTAAATTGAAGTATTGTCGATGCGTTTCTCGAGCTCACTGGGAAAATGTTTCAGTGAAAACTTATCCCACCTCGCGGTTACCATGACTTAATATGCACAAGACCGACTACAAAATATAGTACACACCTAATATTATTGGATTATTTTAAAATGTGAACATAAAGCCGGATCAGAAACATGATAAGCATTATAGCGCGGTAAGATTCTTCTCAAATGGCATAACTGCATCGTATCGTTCCTAGATATGTAGTCAACAGTTTAAAACGTCAGCAAAGACTGCTGCTGAGTTTCAAATATATTCCAGATAAATGCTAAAGATTGAGAAGAGTTTAACAGTGTGATGATAAGCATTTGAGATAGCTAATTGGATGGCACACGTGCAAAGGCCTAGATCAAAACTAAAACTCCTCTACTAACTGCAAAAATAATAATTTCATAAGAGTTTAAATAGAGGTGGATGAAAATCGGACACAAATAGGTTTTTCGACATTGTGGTTGCCAACGCCGACGTCGGACGATCTTTAATAGAATAGGTCTTCAGCAACCCATGGTTGCCGTAAAAGGTGACTGCTTGTCGTAAAAGGCGACTAACGGGATCGGGTGGTCAGGCTCGCTGACTTGGTTAATGCATGTCATCGATCCAAATTGTGTGGATCGATGCTCATGATGTCAATCACTGGATTGTCTGGTCCAGACTCGATTATTTACAGACCGCCGTCATATAGCTGGAATATTGCTGAGTGCGGCGTTAAACAACAAACAAACAAACAAACAATCTTAAATATTTGTTGTTCAACAACACATAAAGGTGTCATCATTAGTTGGAACAAACATGTGAGATTTCTGTTTCATACGTCTATTTGTTTCTTAAAATAAGTTCACTTGACTTTCAGTCAGGTGAGATGATAATAACACCTTGTGTAAAAGTGAATCGGCATATTATAATAGCCTAGCTAAACTCATATCATATTAGTCTAGTTATATGGGTCTGAAAATACAATCATTTCAATGAAAATATACTTACTTAATATCTGCTTTGTACGTTTTTGTGCCTCTAGCGGAGGATATTCCCGTGGCGATCAAGAATATCAAGAACCCCAAGGCACTGATTAGCACCAGGTGCTTCCGAAAACGCCCCCAAAGCATTTCGCTGAGCCAGTTTCTCTTTCAGCCTTCACGAAAGGTAACTTCCCCTCTGCCTCAATTCTGGCGTGTTACAAATTATAATTTCCATACACCGGTAAAATCAATACGTCAGACAGTCTCGCTTTAGCTTCAGCGCCTACTGTGATATGAAGGCGTGTCCAGCATATGGCTCAGTGTTATGTACTGATGGTGTGTCAGCTACACAATATCCTCCTGTAATATAACGGAGTGTTTAGCATATTAGTGATTGTGATTGAACTGTTGGTATGTAAGCTACACAATAGTCTACTGTAATATAAGTGATTGTCGAGCATATTGCTTAATGCTATATACTGACTTTATGTCAACACCCTATTATGATATAATGGATTGACCAGTATAGTGCTGAGTGTGATATGTCGATGGAATGTCAGCTACACAATATCCTACTTTGATATGACGGATTGTCCAAAATATTGGTGAGAGTGGTTTTCTGATGTTATGTCCGCTACATAATATCCTACTATGATATAGTGTGACGTATCTCTACGTATATGGGGGCCAAGTCGTCTAAGGCGCCGCGATTCTCTGTGCAGAGTTGCGTCCCCTTGGCACGCCAGAAACCTTTGATTGTGGGTTCGAATCCCGGTTCGCCCCGGTTATGTTTCTAGGTTTGTCAACACCATACCCGTGCTCCTGGGTTTCACCGAAGAGGTAAACGTCTGAGACCTGCATCACTTCGGGCTTTCCTCCCACATTAAGCTGACACGCCGCGATATAACTGGAATACTGTTAAAAGCGGTGTTAAACCCTACTCACTCACTCACTCTACGTACATGTACAGGTGTACACAGCGCCAGATGTCTCAGCTGATATCGGATGTCAACTGAGAGACAGTAATTTTAAAGTTGATTGGATTCCAAGATGTTACACATCTCCCGGTGTTGCAGCGTCGCCTCAAAATCTGTTAATTGATCAGGATCACACGGCTATCACACGATCTGCTGCAAAGCTGTTGAAATCCTTGTGTGATGTACCGGATTTGTCAGCATATTGTTGAGGGTGATCGTATGTCAGTATAGAGGAGTGCCCTGCATATTATTGAGGGTGATATTATGATTGTATTTCAGCTACGCAATATCCTACTATGATATAACGGAGTATTAGCATATTAGTGAGTGTGATATACTGATGGTATGTAAGCTACACAATAGTCTACTGTGATGTAACGCATTGGCCAGCATATTGTTGAGAGCTATGTGATGATAGTATATCAGCTACACAATACCCTACTATGATATTTAACGCATTGTCAGGCGTAGACATATGTGCGATATAATTGCTGTATGTCGTGAGTTTTACGCCACCGCCAGTCAAAGACCAAAGGCCATCCAGTGTGAAGATATTTAAACCCCCTGTGAATTGTCCTGGTTACCACACAGACAGACAGACAGTGAGACATTGAGACAGACAGTTAGACAGTGAGACAGACAGTGAGACAGACAGTGAGACATTGAGACAGACAGTGAGACATTGAGACAGACAGTGAGACATTGAGACAGACAGTGAGACAGTGAGACAGACAGTGAGACAGACAGTGAGACAGACAGTGAGACAGACAGTGAGACATTGAGACAGACAGTTAGACATTGAGACAGACAGTGAGACATTGAGACAGACAGTGAGACAGACAGTGAGACAGACAGTGAGACATTGAGACAGACAGTGAGACAGTGAGACAGACAGTGAGACAGACAGTGAGACATTGAGACAGACGGTGAGACATTGAGACAGACAGTGAGACAGACAGTGAGACGGTGAGACAGACAGTGAGACATTGAGACAGACCGTGAGACAGACCGTGAGACAGTGAGACAGTGAGACAAACAGTGAGACAGTGAGACAGACAGTGAGACAGACAGTGAGACATTGAGACAGACAGTGAGACATTGAGACAGGCAGTGAGACATTGAGACAGACAGTGAGACAGACAGTGAGACATTGAGACAGGCAGTGAGACAGACAGTGAGACATTGAGACAGACAGTGAGACAGACAGTGAGACAGTGAGACAGACAGTGAGACATTGAGACAGACAGTGAGACAGACAGTGAGACAGACAGTGAGACATTGAGACAGGCAGTGAGACAGTGAGACAGACAGTGAGACATTGAGACAGACAGTGAGACAGTGAGACAGACAGTGTGACAGACAGTGAGACATTGAGACAGACAGTGAGACAGACAGTGAGACATTGAGACAGACAGTGAGACAGTGAGACATACAGTGAGACAGACAGTGAGACAGACAGTGAGACAGTGAGACAGACATAGTTTATTAAAGTGTTACAAGTTAACACACATTGCAAACATTTCATACCACAATAAAAGACGTTTAAAATGATCTTCGCTTATGAGACACTATTTATTACATTATTTACGATGAAATACTATTCACAAATGATGTAGAACAGTAAACAATGCAAGAACAACATGAATAATTGTTGTCAAAAAACGTTTTTCTTACGGTAGAAGCAAAACATTTGATGCGCTCAGGATTATTTTCAGATAAGAATTTAATGAATAGATCTTTACGTTCTGCAGAATTGTAATAAGATAAAATAATCTGGTATCTTAGGTCCTTATAAAAATTACACTCTGAAAAGAAATCGACTCCTGTTTCCGCTTTGTTGCCAAATAACAAGTCCTGTGCTCTAAAAGGATGGGGAGAGGCTTCCACAAACAAAAAACAAACTTTGATTTGATAAACAACAAAAATAATTCAGTTTGATATCATCTTGATATATTAGTTGAACCGTACCTATTTTCTGGCTACTATAAAATAAATCAAAGTTTATTTTGAGCTAGCATGAATATCATAAAATACTTGGCATGCATATGCTCATTGTTCCTTCGATTCCACCAAGCGGTTGGTACTACATGAAATTTCCTCAAGATCACTGTAAACCATGAAATGAATGAGTCACCCAGTTAATGCGAGTGTCGACCCTGGCCTAACATGCGTCATCAGGATTAGTGGCTCAACCTTTGAAACTAATCAGCAAACGATAACGCCAAGACTGTAGACTTAGAATTCAATGATTTAGTATTGCCTGGTAGAAGTTCGATTGAATGATATCATTTGCTATTTTCACATACTTGACTTCAGCTGTTGATCTAACTTGATGAAATCAAAATGCAAGTTATGCACTATCGCGTCATTTGTGGTGCCAAGTTACTATTTGTGTGAGTGTTAGACGCTGGTGCGTTTTCATGTTTCAAACTGAACAAAGAGGACCGCACCATTTATCCATTTTTAAAGACTGCCTGTTAAGTGGTGTCGCTTCAGGCACTCGTTGCAGCCTCATTCTCTTCATGTCAGCGTGCGTAATGTCACATACATGTACATGTACATGTAGGAGGTGAAATGGGGTTTAACGTCGCGTCCAAGATTATTGTACTTATATAGCGACGTGCATGTACGTGTGTGTGTGTTTGTGTGGCTGCTTGTACTAGTCCGGACTGATGCCGATTTATAGTGCTAGCTCACTGATATACCATGCCGCAGTTTAACATGAATACCCCACTCAGACACACTATACTGACTCCGAGCCGACCAGTCCTTGTTTTAGCCCCTTAATGCCTAGCGCCAGACAGGGTAACGACAAGTACCATCTTTTAACGTCTTTAGGTATGACGCGGTCGGGGATCGAACCCCGGACCCCGGACGCTCTACCCCTAGACCACGGAGGCGGTGTGTTTTGTGTGGAAACCCTACGTGTTTTGTAGTGAATCCGATATGCTGTATGTGCGGTTATTCTTTCTAATCATAAGTTAATATATACATTATCGTTGTACATTTATGCAACTCAAAACAATGTATACCCAGATAGAATGATGATCAATATGGAAATGTTCAATGTCATCGTTGGTTGGTTGGTTGGTTGGATTGTTGTTTAACGCCGCACTCAGCAATATTCCAGCTAAATGATGGCGGTCTGTAAATAATCGAGTCTGGTCCAGACAATCCAGTGATCAATATCATGAGCATCGATTCACGCGAGTCTGACCACCCGATCCCGTTAGTCGCCTCTTTCGACAAGCATAGTCGCCTTCAATGTCATAGAATAATTGTGATAGTATCCATTGTCAGTTTGTTTGTTTGTTTGTTTGTTTGTTTGATGTTTAACGCCGCACTCAGCAAAATTCCAGCTATATGACGGCGGTCTGTAAATAATCGAGTCTGGACCAGACAATCCAGTGATTGACATCATGAGCATCGATCCACGCAATTCGCAGTTAAACATGAATACCCCACTCAGTCACAGTATACTGAATCCGAGCCGACCAGTCCTTGTTTTAGTCCCTAAATGCCGATCGCCAGACAGGGTAACAACAAGTACCATCTTTTAACGTCTTTTTGGATGACGCGGCCGAGGATCGAACACCGGACCTTCCGCTCTCCGGGCGGACGCTCTCCCACTAGACCACGGAGGCGGTCGTACATTTAGGAACATAAATGCAAAGAATGTTAGTTTAGTGTCAGACACTCTCTAAATAACGGTGATAGCGAGAGCGGTGATGACTCTGGTCGCGCCAAGGCAACAATAGCACGTTAGCTGTCCTCCGTCATTGTTTGTTTGTTTGGCAATATTCCAGCTATATGACGGCGGTCTGTAAAATAATCGCGTCTGGACCAGACAATCCAGTGATTGACATCATGAGCATCAATCCACGCAGTTGGGATCGATGACATGTATCAACCAAGTCAGCGAGCCTGACCACCCGATCCCTTTTGTCGCCTTTTACGGCAAGCATAGTCGCCTTTTACGGCAAGTATGGGTTGCTGAAGACCTACTCTACCCCGGAATCTTCACGGGTCTCCTCGTAATTGTTCATCAGTGGTTTATTTCCGAATGTAATGGTGGAGATCCGAAACACTCGATGCCCAATATCAGCTTACCAAATGGACGACGTTTACAGTCAGAGTTTTATCATGATATACATGTACATGTATGGTTTATCTGCGAGGGGCGGTCGGGTAGCCTACTGGTTAAAG